ACACTAGATTTAAAATTACAGCATATGCAGATGATATATCACTAGGAATCGGATCTCCATCAGACTGGGCAAAAGCATTAGAGATTCTGCATTATTATGAGAATGGCTCTAATGCTAAAATAAACAAAGCCAAGTCAATATTGATTCCTATTACAGCGAATGCCAAGAGAGTAGAACTTGTTGAGCAAGTGGACTTTAAAATGCTGGAAAATGATCAAGACCCGATAACTATACTAGGCTATAGCATTGATACAAATAGGAATCCAGAAAAAACAATATAAGACAGTCTTACAAAGAAAATTAAAACTAAAATCCAAGAGCTATCACAAAGAAATCTCTTATTCAAAGGGAAAATTCTAGTAGCCAAAACTCTACTAATCTCAAAAATCTGATACTTAGCATACCTTCTTCCTCCAATCAGAAGACAGCTAAATGAGATCAACCAGCTACTAACAACGTGAATTAAAAACAATTCAAGGATGTTACCACAATACTCAGTTTTTCAGCTCAGATACAAGCAAGGTGGACTTACTGCCCCTAATCTAAAGAACATGCTAGATGCCAGATTACTTTCAACATGGCTGAAACTGCTGTCAAGCAAAACTTTTTGGGCCATTGTAGAAAGAGATACCATCAAATCTGAACTCTATAGTAAAAGAACCATTTCAGTTACAGATGCATTATCACAAACCCTACTTAAGACTAAAGGCTGGATAAATCAATGAAAGCCTTACCTTAATGCATAGAAAAGATTTAAAGGTAAAATTGAAACAAGCAGTTCCTGGCTATGGTCACTAACGGACATCAAGATAGGAGAAACACTAGGCAACCAATACAAGGATGGAAAAGCCTTAAAGAGCTTAAATGCCTCACCGGACCTTTAAACAAATTATGAATGGCTACATACTAAAGGAATTCTCAATAAGAAAAAGGACATAATGTGGCAGCTAGCCCATCAAGCCTTGCCTCTTGGCTATCGACTTCTACTTATCAGCCAAAATAATCTTGAAAACTGCCCCAACTGTATACATACCACCCAAACACTTGAACACTTTGCCTTAAAATGCCCTCTAAGCAAGACAATTTAGGAAACAGCTTACAAATTCCTCAAGTACACAGCCGAGCCAATCCCATCTACAATAGAAAACATCTTTCAGGCCACCAACATAACATCAACCCATAAAAGAAAAACAGCTATTTGGATACACATAACCACCATCTACGAAATTTGGTGCTGGTATACTCAGGCCAGATGGGGGGATAAGACTATACCTATAGAGACAATCACAAACATAATAAACCTTAAAATAAAACATGCAATTAACTTACTACGAGCTTGGTAATAAGAAAATCACCTACCAGAGACAAAAAAATAGATACTATTCTAAAATTCATCAAATCATCTTCATAAAATCTGTAATCAATTAAAATTAAAATCAAAAACATTATAAATAAAAAGCATGCTTAGATGCATTTTTTAAAATAAAAAATGAAACCACTTTAGCACCCCAAAAAAGTGAAAAAATAAGTGAACAAGAAAGTGCATGAATAGATTTAGCAACAACTGGTGCTCTAATATTTGCAGAAAGATATGAAGGTGAAGCTAATCAATACGATGTAAATTCAATGTATATATTTGAAATAATAAAAAAAGATGCATCATGGCCAATTGCACCAGGTAAGTTTCATACTATAAACTCATCTTTTACAAAAAAATGAAGTAAATTTCCATATGGAATTTATAAAGCAACAATAGAAGGAAATCCTCCAAAGAAAAGTCTTCAATGTATGAGATATTTATGTTATAATTCACATAGAATTTACATACATTATAATTTAGAATGTGTGCAAAAAAATGGATTGAAAGTAACATTAATGAATATATCACAAAATGCGCTTATTTATGAAAAAAATGTACGTATAACAAGAAAAGACATGTTCGGTGAATGGGGTAATATATGATACAAAATTAAAAAAGAAGGTAGAATAGAAGAAAAAGTTAGTAAAGCATTATTAGTTTCATTATGGGGTGCATTATGTGAGCAAAAAAATGGACAAAATTATGGTTTACATCCATGAATAAAACCATTCTTATTAGCATCTGCACGAAAAAGAATATTAGAAATTGTGAAGCTACTAGGAGATCAAGTAAAATGTATACATACAGATGGCTTTATTATAGCTGGAAAAGTAGAACTTAAAATGGGAATAGAAGTGGGTAAGCTGAAATTTGAGAAAAATGAAGTTAGTGTAGTAAAAAATTGTATATCAATTACATAGAAACTATTATATCCAGAAATTCCAAATTTGAAGGGTGTGGCGACCTAGTGAAGTGGTCAGGTTGTCAACCCTCCAAGTGGTAGGTTGGGTGTTCAAATCCCATCGAT